TGTGGACCGTCTATCATCAGGGTCATTGGCCCAATCCGAGTCACAGAAAGCAGTGAGAGAGAATGGGTGCTGAACATCTGCACGGTGAAGAACAAGGCCAAAGGTGATGGTACCCTTGAGATATCTTAAAATTCTCTTCACTATCTTCCAGTGATCGTCCAAAGGTTGACCCATAAATTGGCAAACCTTGTTGACAGCATAACTGATTTCAGGGCGAGTTATTATTGCATATTAAAGAGCTCCCACAACTGATCTGTAAAGATGAGGATCAGAAAAATAATTGGACCCAAATCTGGACAGCTTGCAGCTGGAAGGCATGGGAGATGAGATTCCTTTTGCTTCATGCATATCAGCTCTAGTAAGTAATTCACAGATGTATTTAGCTTGAGACAGTATTAAGTCACCTGAAGAATAAGGTTTCACCTCTATACCAAGAAAATAGTCAAGAGAGCCAAGGTCTTTAAGTGCAAACTGAGAATGTAATTGAGTGATGAGCTGCTGTATATAGGAAGAGTTGGTACCAGTCACTATAATATCATCTACATACACCAGAATATATATACAGTGAGATGAAGTCTTGGAGATGAATAAGGATGGGTCGCAGCAGCTGGATTTAAACCCCAACACCATTAGAGCATTTTTCAGCTTGTCAAACCAGGCCCTTGGTGATTGTTTTAGACCATATAGAGCCTTGTTAAGCTTGCAAACCAAACTCTTGTCTATATTTTCAAAGCCTGGAGGTTGACTCATGTACACAACTTCTTGTAAATCACCATTTAAAAAGGCATTATTGATATCCAATTGTCTAATAGACCAGGAATGAGTGAGAGCTAAGGTGAGCATGATCCGCACAGTGACTGGTTTAACCACAGGAGAGAAGGTTTCATTGTAATCAAACCCTTGTTGTTGATGAAAACCCTTTGCCATAAGTCTTGCCTTGTATTTATTAATAGTACCATCCGGATTCTCCTTGACTTTAAAAACCCATTTACATCCAACAGCCTTTCTGTTTGTGGGCAGAGCAACCAGGTTCCAAGTGTTGTTAGACATTAAAGCATTGTACTCAAGTTTCATGGCTTCCAGCCAAGGTAGGCTGCATAAAGCTTGTTTCACAGTAGTTGGTTCAAAGTGAGCAAGTAAAGCAATAGACATGGCTCGAGACTTTGATCTGGTAATAATAGATCTAGGTGGTGACACATCCCTAGCTGTATCGGATGGCACATATTCAGAAGCAGAAGAAGAGGAAGTAGGTGAAGAGGTGGTAGAGGAGGAGGAAATGGGAGATAAAAATTCTGAAATATGATCAGAAGAAAAGGAAGACTGAACTGATGTGGCAGGAGAGGACTGCACCGAATGGGGAATAGACTCTAAGGGAGGATTAGGTGAAGTGTCAGAATGGGAAGGATGAGGTGGAGAGAATAAAGGAAGTTCTCTTGCATGAGGAGAGGTGGGAAAATTGGGATATGAGCAGAAACAGAACTGATAGGTGGAGAGGCAGGCTCAGTGGTTGTCCAGGATGAGTAAGGAAAACGATATTCATTGAATAAAACATCTTTCGAGATGTAAATTCTGCCTTCTTTATTCAAGCAGACATAACCTTTGTGGCTGGTGGAATAGCCAAGGAATAGGCATTCTTGAGAGCGAAACTCAAGTTTGTATCTATTATAGGGTCTCAAAAAAGGAAAACAAGCACACCCAAAAATCTTGAGAAGTTGATAGTCAGGATTCTGTTTAAACAGTTTGGTGAAAGGGACACCAAAATCGAGAGAGGCAGTAGGGAGTCTATTAATTAGATACACAGCTGAGGTGAATGCATAGTCCCAAAATCTTAATGGCAAAGATGCATGAGATAGAAGAATGAGTCCCAACTCAACAATGTGATGATGTTTGCGCTCAACAACCCCATTTTGATGATGGGTGTGAGGACAAGCAAGTCTATGGTTAATGCCATGAAGTTTGAGGTAATCAGTAAATGAACGGAATTCCCCACCCCAATCTGTCTGCAAAGCTTTAATAGGAAGCTGAAACTGTGTAGATATCAGGGAGTGAAATTGTTTAAAAATAATGAGGGCATCAGATTTTTGTTTTAAAGGATATATCCAAGTGTAACGAGTATAGGCATCAACAAAGGAAATGTAATAGGAGTAACCCAAGGTGGACTTAAAGGGTGCAGGTCCCCAAAGATCACAGTAGATTAATTCAAAAGGTTTAGCATATTCAGTTAATGAAGTGGATGAGTGAAGTCTATGTGCCTTACCAATACAACAAGAGGAACAAAAATCACTGACATTTTTATTTGAAGTGGGTATATTACAAGAGTGAAGCACATTTGTCATTGTGGCATGATTGGGATGTCCTAAACGACAATGCCAGAGAAAATATGTAGATTGAGTAGGAATACAAGAATCAACAGAATTACAAGATTGACCAACAACATTCTAATCAACATTATTATTGCTACTTTGTATACTATTACAGAGAGGAAAAACAGTAGAACTGATAGTGTTTTGACTTGAAATAGGTGATGACAAAGCTGAAGAGGCAGACTGCTAAGGAAGCGTGATGTCTGAGAAGTAATACAGACCATCACTGCCAAGAGCTCCTCGAAGCAGAATCTGATGAGACTCCTGAGATTTAACAAAACAAACATTTGGATGAAACTCAAAGTAGACTAACACTCATGAGGTTTTTCATTATGGAAGGAACCAATAGAAGATTTTTAAGATGCAAATGTTTATTAGAGTCATAAGGAGACACAAAATTTGAAGAGCCAATTGCTTTAATTGCCAAACCTTACCCATTGCCAATGATGACTTGATCAGAGCCACTTAGCTGCTGGCTCTGGAGTAAGTTCATTGAATTTCCAGTGACATGATGGGAGGCACCTGAGTCAGGGAACCACTCAAGAGCAGGACGAATAGGAGGAGTTGGCAACAAGCCAGGTTGAGCTGCTATCATGGCCTGTGGTGCAGTAGAGATAGGCCTAATATACTGATAGGAACGTTGTTGATGCAGTTGCTGTCTCTGAGGAAAGAACTGACTATTTGATAAAGCTTCAGGAGGTGGAAGGTTGGGTACGAAGTCTGCATCAAAACGATGCCAACAGGTCTTCACATCATTACCGTACTTGTGACATAGTTGGCAATAAACTTGTAATCTGGCACCACGCCCTCTACCTCTGTTAAACCTTCCATTAAAACGTCCTTGGCCTCTACCTGAACCATTGGAACGAGAAAAATCATCAAATCCTGATTGTTGCGTAAATTGACCAGTGCTTTGTTTCTGGTTCTCGAAAACAGAAGTGTTACTTTGTTTCTGAGCCATATTCACATTGACTGATTCAAGAAGAGCTTCATTCTGTTTTAGAAGCATTTGTTCATGCGTCATTAACTCAATAGCTAGATCCTCAATAGAATATGGATTTTCCCGTCCATGAACAGTAGTAACAAATGCATTGTAATCAACTGGAAGTCCTTCCAGTATATAATTAGTTCGATCCTCATTTGTGACTGGATTGCCTATGGCTTTGAGCGAATCACACAAGGTTTTAATTCGAGTTAAGTATTCTTTAGCAGATCTGTTACCTTTCTTGATAGATCTGAGCTCAGAACGTAGGTGACGAGATCTGGATTTCATCACGCCATGGAAGAGCTTGTGAATTTTATCCCAAGCTTCATGAGCATACTTGACTCCAAGGATTTCATTTACAACTGACTCTGAGATAGTAGACAAAAGCTACGATAGAAGCATCGAGTCCTGTGTAATCCATTGAACATACTCTGGATTCTGAATTTCATTTTCGCGATCTTCCACGGTCTTGTACTGAACAGGAATTTTTGGATTTACTAGATGGCGATGCAACTGGTGAGAAGTAATAATCGGTTCAATTATCTGGTTCTAGAACAGATAATTGTCTTCTGTGAGTTTGACGGTGATTTGGTGATTGAAGAGAAGAGGCGCGTGATTCTCCATTGATGCTGAAGCGCGATTCTCCATTGATGCTGAAGCGGAAGCCATAGTGTAGCTCGAAAAATGGATCAGGCCCTCAGGATGAGAGCTCTGATACCATATTCGAATACAGTGCAGAAACCATAGATGAGAGAAGAAGAGAGAGAGAGAAGAGTGAATATCTGAGATTGTATATTACAGTTGTGTATGTGATACAAGGCATCCTGATATATATACAGTAAGCCAATACAGAATTGTAACTGACTAAAAGGAAGTTATCAGCTACATGCAGATACATTGGATAAAGGTACAATACAGTAAGATACTATATCTAATACTACACAAATAAAATTTTGTTGATGAGATGTGACTAGATTTTTTCTTGGGTTTAGTTGATGGGTTAATGAGTCTTACGTTTAGAAATTTTTGGGTTATGATTGAAGAAAAACCCAGGTAGGTAGATGAGAATTAATATATTGGATCAGTTTGGATTGGATCGATTTTCATTAACCCATCCGAAAACCGATTCAATCCAATTAAAATTTGCAGTTTTTTTTCGATTTTCGATTTTTCGATTTTCAATTTATTCGGTTACCGATTTTTCGATTGGATGAGTGTGATTTGAATCGATTTGAAATGGTCGAATACTCCTCTTGAATTGAAAGTGCGAGTTCTAATACATTGATCAGCGTGAATGATACAACTCATAATGACTTAAATAAAAGAGTGTTCTAAAGTTCTAATGATTTCAACAAAACTAAAAAAAATGCAAGCCTTAGTGAAAACTTTAGTTTAGTCATTACTCGTAATATCGTAGTTGAAAAGATGAGTCACCAATCTGAATTGAAATTGTACCAAATCAAAAAAGAAGTTAATTATTCTATATCTATTATCGAATCCAACAATAGGTTTTCAAATTTCTTCAACTATGTTATGTGTTTATACCTGTGATACTTGAGTAGACTTTAACCTTTTGAAAATTTGAAATCTCTATGCCAATCCTCTTCTCCCCTCGCATTGCACGATCTCGGATCTGATCTGAACAAGGTGCTATGGATCGGGTGCTGAAAGCGGCAAGAGCCTCTGGTTCTCTGAACCTCTCGAATCGCTCCCTCAGGCAAGGCACACTCTCTCTATAATCGATTTCTAAGCTACATCGATTCTCTCTTCTCTCTCTTCTCTCACGCATTGTTGTTGTTGTTGTTGTGTTACTGTTTCGATTTGCAGAGAAGTTCCCGATGAGGTTTACCGGAATCTGGAGGGGCTTGGTGGCGACGATAAGTGGTGGGAGGTACTGTACCTATCTATGCTTTGTTTGATTTGATTAGGAAGATGGAAATGAAATGAAATGAAGTTTTGAAATTAAAGGAAATGAAATGAAATGTAGTTTATGTTATGTGGTTACAGGCTGTGGAGCTTCAGAAGCTCATTTTGGCTCACAATAGTATCGAATCGTTAAAGGAAGATCTGAGAAATTTAGCTTTTCTGGCTGTGTTGAATCTTAGCCACAACAGTCTTTCTGAACTTCCCGCTGCTATAGGAGAGTGAGTTTTTAGAACGTTTGGATTTTGCTTATGTTAACTTGTCTCGCGTTTTTTTTTTTTTTTTTTCAATTTTTGAATTTCCTGCTGGATTTTCGTTGTTGTTTGTTATTCACAGGCTACCTCAGTTGAAGTTGTTGGATGTTTCATTCAATTCAATACTTAGAATACCGGAGGAAATCGGATTGGCTGCATCGCTTGTTAAGTATGCTGTATTTCCATGTTCATTTTGGATAGGCTGATATGAGAAAGTTGACATTTGTTTGTACCCTATTTGCATATTTGCATTGCACAAATCACTCGGCTTTTGCATTATTCTTTTAGGCTTGATTGTTCAAACAACCGGCTCAAGGAACTTCCAAGCTCTCTTGGCAGATGCTTAGAATTGTCAGACTTAAAGGTAATAACTTCATGTTGCAGAAACTGCCAGGTGTAGATTTTGTTAGTGTGGTTGGCTTATGCTGCTTATCTGACATAAAAGTGGCTTGCTCAAATTATGCTTGTGATTATTGTGAATTCAAGCTTGGAATGTTAGGAAGTTTATCTTTTTGGATGAGTATAAATAGATTTTGGTTGCGGGGGCATACTTTTGTGTCTATGTTATAAAGCACGTACTGATTAGTAACAGTGAGATAGATACTTATAGGTCAGTATCCAAACTGCAATTCAATGAATGGAAAATCATATGTTTTTTGGGAAGGAGTTTCCGTAGCGATAACAACAGTAGTGTATCAAAATTTTGTTGTCTTAAATATTTCCTTGTTCCCAAAGGATTTGATCAATTCCCATTACTTCCTAAGAACCTGCTTTCTTGTTACTTAACTGTACATATGCGTGTAGCATTTCTCTAATTCAGTCTACTTCTTACTTTTGACATATAAGTTACTCTGCCATTTCTTAAGTTCCTTCTTTCATAATGTGCAATCCATTTCTGCTATAGACCACTGATATGACTAGCATTACAAGGGGATGACAGCCCACTGTTTAGAAAAAAATATTCCTGAAGGAATATACCCAAATAGCTGTTATGTTAGTTATGAACATTGGTTAGTAAGCTAGACTAGTTAGCAACTGCTGGATTGAATGGTTAGTTAGTTAGTCCTATATGTGGGAAGTGTTGCCAGTATATAAGGCAGGGCCTCCCTGTTGTTTAGGCACTTTTTAAAGATTTGATTGTTGACTGAGATATTCTCAGTAGGAAGGAATAATTCCCTTGTGAAGAAGATTGCCTCTTGTACTCATTTCTTGATATATTCCTTTTCTTTCATTTTCCTTTCCTTTTTCCCTTATCCCCATTACAGTAATTTCTAGCATTAATGAATCCAGAGTCATAACAACCACAAAAGTGGCAGATTTCTTAAAAAGGAAAGTGAGCTTGAAACTGTTTTTGTAACATGACTTGTATGAATTTAAGCTGATGCTACGCAGACTGTCTATCATCTTTTTCATTTCAGCTACAGTTTCCCGTTGCCTCTAAAATTTTTAATTTGATTGGACAGTGATATTGTTCATCTTGTGACCCTTTGACTTCATTGGATGATCTTGATAGTTAAAAAACCACTCCCCATTCTTGTATGAGCTTTACCCTTGCATAGATTCTATATTTTACCTTTTCGAATATATATTTTGATTTAATTGGTCCTTGCTTTAGGTTATACGACATAATTAAATCTATTGATGAAGATTGTGCTTACTTTAAATGTGGGGCTGTGGGATTTTCCTTGTAGACTCTACCTGCCTTTGCAATTGAAATGAAATCTTATAAAAGTTTGCTATTTTTTTTGTCTGTATTCATATGGTCATGTACATGCTACTTGAGGGCCTTATGATACTCTTTTTGCAGGGATCAAACAATCTTATTGCAAGCTTGCCAGAAGATTTAGCAAATTGTTCCAAATTGTCTAAGCTAGATTTGGAGGTATTAATTGGCAACAAACACCTCCTTACTCCTTAGACTTTTGAGAAGTTATGGTTTTATTAACCAGTGCTCTCATTATATTGTCTTTTTGTCTTTTATCAGGGAAACAAGCTAACTGTGATGCCTGAAAGTCTCATTTCATCATGGACCATGCTTACTGAATTAAACGCATGTAAGGGCCTTTCTTCTATAAATACGCATAAATGATCTCAATTAATTATTTCATTCCTATTTGTAAATCCTTTGATTTGGTAAACTTCTTTCCATTGTTACCACTGCTGCAGCAAAAAATTTGCTGAATGGCATACCAGTCAGCATTGGAGGCCTTTCACGTTTAATTCGTCTTGACCTCCATCAGAACAGTGAGCTTTTAAACAAAGGTTCAATTATTTTTTGTGTCTCCCTTTGTCATCTGGACTTAGAGTTTGTATGTGTGTATCTGTGCAGGAATCTCATCAATCCCTTCATCAATCATCGGTTGTCATTCACTTACGGAGTTTTATTTGGGGTCAAATTCTAACCTATTCCGATGCAAGTCTTCATATTATTTAAAACATACTATGCATTTGGGTTTCTTCTAATTAAAACTTTTGCTCTTCTGATACATATTGTGCTTTTTGCCCTTCTAAATTTAGGAATAACAATATTTCCACAGTACCAGGGGAGATAGGGGCCCTTTCTCGACTAGGGACTTTCGATCTTCATTCCAACCAGGTAGCTCGGACTGATTTTTATTTTTACTTTTCCATAATTACTTATATTATTCATAAAAAGAGAGGGCAAGCCTAGAAAAATGGTAAAACTGCCCCTTGGTGACCGAATGGTCACATGCTCGAATATAGAAAACAACCTCTTGCAAAAATGCAAAGGTGAGGCTACGTATAAGGATTTCCTTACCCGAGCCCTTGTAAGTTGGGGTTTAATAGGGAGTGATTTGACTTCTATTATTTCATAAAAGAGCTCTCGTTATATTATTTTGTTGAAATAATGGTAAAGCTGCTCCTTGAATGGTCACATGCTCGAATCTAAGAAATAATCTCTTTGTAAAAATGCAAAGGTAAGGCTATGTATAAAGATTTCCCTTACCGGTCCTTGTAAGTCGGGGTTCCATGGGGAGTGGTTTGACTTCTATTATTTTAAAATAGAGCGTTTGCTTGTATAATTTTGCTGAAATAGTGGCTAAGTATATTGCCATTTTTGTCTTCTGATGCTTTTGTTATCTTGCAGTAGATTATTAATTTAATTGGTTATTATTTTGTGCATTCACAGCTGAAGGAATTTCCAGTAGAGGCATGCAATTTGACTCTTTTAGTCTTGGATCTTTCAAATAATTCATTGAGTGGGTTACCCCCTGAAATGGGTAAGGTCAGCAAGTTTTCGTACTATGATATTGGTCTAGTTTGCCTTATTTTGAAGAGCGAACAGTTGCATGTAATGAGAACAGGATAGGAGCAGAAAATATAAAATACTAATTTTCTACCTCAACAAGCGGGTACTCCCTCTTTATACTAATTTCAGTATCTAGAAGAATTGCAAAAAAACTGATAAGCGATAAAATTGTAAAAACAACATTCCCTGTGATAAAAGAGTTGTTCTAAATCAACATCAACAACACCTTTATCCCAAATTAATTGGGGTCGGTGGTAGATGAGCCCAAATGAAAGATACAAAAAGGTTGTAAAAAAAGAAACATAAAAAAATAAAAATAAAAATAAAAATAAAAAAATAAAATAGTAATTATATATATATATATATATATATATATATATATATATATATATATAGGGGAAGGATATTGTGACAACCAAGTTGTGTTACTACCAAGTGACTACCAATCAATCTCACCGTTAAATAGATTATGTTGATCCAACGGTTATATTTATTTCCATCTTTGTATGGTCATGATTCCTCATATTTAAAGTGAAAGCATTAAATATGGGAAATCATAACCATACAAAGGTGAAAATAAATATAAAATATTAAATTTGGGAAATCATGACCATACAAAGATGAAAATAAATATAACCGTTGGATCAATATAATCGATCTAACGGTGAGATTGATTGGTAGTCACTTCGTAGTAACACAACTTGGTTGTCACAATATCCTTCCCCATATATATATATAAAAATAAAAGTAAAAAAGAAAGGGAAAAGAAGAAGAGGGGGAAATGAAGGGGAAAAGGACTACAAAGGGACCATCTGGAACATAGGAATAACAACGAGTCTAACCTTCCACCATGCTTATAGCTTTTCTCCATTCCGTTCTAAGGCATACCGCCCGCCAATCTATATCTCACTCTATTAAATCTTATTTTACTACCTTCCCCCAAGTAAGTTTCGGTCTACCTCTACCTCTTATTGTGTTGAGCTCTTGGTAACAAACTTCTGTTCTTACGGGAGCATCCAGAGACCTTCTCATTACGTGCCCAAACCACCTCAATCTATGTTCTCTCATCTTCTCAGCCACCGGTTGTTCTAAATAAACAATAATTTTAGTTGCTAGCATTTGTGTCTGTGCATGATTTATTCTTCACAATATAAAAAATTCTTTTCATTCTCAAGAGGAATTTGTTACCTTTGATTCACGGAGTTGTCAAGAGAGTTGTTCATTCTGCTTCCGAACCAATTTTAAGGTCTCTTTAAGTGTCTTAGGGTAATCTCTCCAGCAATTTCATATAGTCAATGAATGCCATTACCACTATGTCCAATTATATGTTATATATGAACATTTAGTAAATGGGCGGCCAGAACACATATCAACTTCCTTAATATGATGGTATTTATGTGTAAAAAGTAATATGGAATAATTTAACATGAAGAAATAAATACGTTAGTATTTTATCTTGTTTAGGCAAGATGACTACCTTGAGGAAACTTCTGCTCAGTGGAAATCCTTTGCGGACACTTCGAAGGTACAATGAATGTTTGCTCCTTTCTGCAGTCATTATTTGTATTTATAAGTGTTTTTGACTAATGTTTTTTCCTTACCAGCTCATTAGTATCTGGACCTACGCCAGCATTACTGAAATTTCTCCAAAGTAGACTTTCTGAAGGTGAAGGTATGTTACAATGGTAGATGCATTCTGCATATGACTTAAGCTTGAGTCTGTTAATTATTTTAGATTATAATATTTTAAAATTCTTCTGCAGATTCTGAAGCTATAACAACCACAAAGGAGAACGTGATTGCCATGGCTACCCGATTGTCTATCACTTCAAAGGTATTGTTTCTCTTGAAAAGGAAAATATTCATTCCATAGATTGCATAGATTTCTTCTTGATCATTATTTGTTTATAGTCTGTGTCAGAATGTTGGTATAACTATGTGCATTAGTTTCTTCAATGCGATCAGAAAGCCAATATGTGTAATTGCATATACAATAATAATAGTATTAGTACCAATTAGTTGCTTGAAATTACACGGCATTTCCATATAACTCATTGTGTGTATATTCTTCTGCTAATAGAGAATAGATGGTACTTAATATTCTGGTGCAAGTTTGACTATCAAAATCAGGCATACGCCATAATACTTATAATCTAACAAGCACGGACACGCACAAATTTTTTAAAAAATGGGTGTCAGACACCGACACGCTCCGAAACGTGGTCAACATTTTGGGACACGCGGTCGATGCTCCGACACGCTTTTCTGACGCGCAGTCAGCTTTTTCCGGCACGCGGTCAACGTTCCGACACATTTTTTTTTTAGGTCTAAATTTTATTTATTTATTGGTATCCAATTTTATTTTATTAACTAAACATAAAAAAATAATTTATAAATCAATTTTTTCTGTTATGAAATTTGACATGAAAAATTAACAAGGTACGAAAAAATTATTTTTGTTTATATTTATGTTATGAAATTTGAATATTTGATTGTTTATATGACTTATTATGAGTTGTTATATGTATTAAATATGAATTATATTATGTATATTAAAATTATTATTTAATATCAAAACGTGTCCCAACGTGTCAAAATATGACATTTTTTAGAATTAACGTGTCAGCATGTTGTGTCGTGTCCCGTGTCAGTGTCGGTGCATCATAGCTTATAATAGACAAGGAACAAACTCAAGTAGTTTTTTTTTTTTTGGTAAGAAAAATTGGTTTATTTAAGATCCTTTTGGGATAAAAATATAAAATAATTGAGTATGTTTGTTATCTATCAATCATTGCTTTTAACATCTAAGTTGATTACATAGTGAGTATGACAAATGGGATCATTAAAGATATTATTTTGTTCTGCCTTGCACAATCACATAATAGACTAACAAGCGTACCCATATACCTTTGATAACTTGAGTTTGAGATTCATTAGATGCTGGCACTTCTCTATTTTTTGTTTTTATTTTCCTGTTCAATTTATTTTGCATGAACTCATTTCCTAACCAGTTGCAGTTCTGTTTTTAATTGTGTTCAGGAACTTTCTATGGAAGGGCTGGGATTGACTGCTGTTCCATCAGAAGTATGGGAATCAGCGGAGATCATAAAACTTAATCTTTCCAAAAACTCCATCCAGGAGTTGCCAACTGAACTTTCTTCCTGTGTTTCCCTCCAGGTTAAACCTTATCTTCTGATTTTATTTCCTGTAAGATGCTGTTGCAAGTTAATACAGTTTTCTCCAGGTTCTGATGGATACTGTCATCATCTTAATATGAGTCACTCACTAACAAGAATTTGAATCAGCATGTTGGTTGACTGATAATGATATAAGTAGTTTGAGTTATTGAAATTTTGAAGATATAAACACTGCAGTAAGGCCATAAAAAGAGCTATTATGATTTTGCAGTTTAATTAATATATGTTTCTTATTGTTTGTGACAAAGGACCCCTTCGCCTGTGATCTTGTATGTTTGGATGGGATTTTAAGGGGGAAATGGAGGGAAGGGAAAGGGTAATGGTTAGCCTTTCCCTTGTTTGGGAGTCTTGTAAAAAGAGGGGAAGGGAATGTGGCTTTTTCATAATTCCTCCAATTGGGGGGATTTGGAGGAATAACAACATAATTTACTTATTTACCCATATTCCAATTTATTACATATCTTCATTTTTGCATCAGAGAGAGAAAATCTTTTATTGTGAGATTTTTCTTTTTTTAATTTTACCAAAGAAAAAGTATATTGTTATTTTATAAAATAAATGTAAAATAATAAATTTAATATAATTAATCATTTTAATTTAACTACCCTCCTATTTTCTTCCCCCAATGATTTTTTAACATACCAAACAAGGGTAAGGGATTACCCTTCATTTTCCTTCCCCCTTGATTCCTTTCTTTTCCTTCCCTCCTAACTCCCAAACACACCCTGAATGAACAGAAACCTTTCAGAAAATCTTATGAAAGCATTACTTTTCCATTAAAAACAAAAACAAATAGTTGCTTGATTTTGTGGCATACTTTTTGGTAATTAATTTTACTTACCTTGTACTTTAAGAGCCCGAGCTGCATTAGTTTTGCCATATATATATTCATGTGAACTGACTGTAATTTTTTTCAACCATTTTCTCTTTTGGGTTTCATATTATTCTGTGTACTATAGTATTATTTGCTTACAATTTTTTCTTTGTAAGTTCTATCTGTGCTAGTTTTTGTTCTTACACTGTGTAAATAACCAATTCAACCCAAAAGTTTAAGCAGTTGGGTGAGGCTACATTAATGATTTTATATATCTCAACACGCCCCCCCTCACATAAGAGCCCACTGAGCTTGAAGAGTGGACAATACACAGGCCCACCTACCTGTGCGAAGAAAGAAATTTCACTAGAAAGAAAGTGGGGGGCGGTGAGGATCGAACCCGGTACACCGAGGCTCTGATACCATGTAAAGAACCAATTCAACCTAAAAGCTTAAGCTGTTGGGTGAGGCTACATTAATGTTTTTATATATCTCAACACACTGATATTTTACAACAAAAATAATGGTAAGAATCCTCAATTTCCCTGTAAGTCTGAAGAAGGAAAATGTGTTTTCTTCGTCATTTTCAGATTTTCTTTGAATAAAGTAAAATATTTCTTATATGGTAAACCCTTTTCTCTCTGTTGAGTGATTACTTCATGTCTTCGTGAACATATTCATGCTCAAACCAATTTCCGGATGTGTTAATGGTAATACGTTTCCAGCTTTAACTTATAATAATTTATTGATTTAGGCCGGGGAAGAGTACTTCGATACACTGGTCATTAATTGACCTGCTGCTTATCTGAAACTGTTCTATAATTCATTCTTATGTTTTGCACTTTCCAGACATTGATTTTATCTAAGAATCAAATTAAAGACTGGCCAGGTTCGATTCTTAAATCACTTTCGAGTCTTTCATGTTTGAAGCTGGACAACAATCCCCTGCGACAGGTAATGACTAATGATTTACGAGCTTCTCTCTGTTCTTGTTCTTGTAAAAATAAATGAATAATGGTATCAACATGTATATAGAACCATTGCAAGACATAATATTTTATAAGTAGTTAATATGGTTTTTTCCATTATAAAATCCATATAAATAATTCATGTCCTTTCTCATTGGTGGTCATTGCTGTTATTATGGCTTAAAGAGTTATCTTAAGATAAATTAAACAGAAAAGACTGTATGTTTTTGTTCCTTTATGGATGTATCATTGACAAGAAGTCTTTCTTTCTTTGTACTAAAGTCTATCACTATTTAGTTTTCAATGACATAAATAACACTTACTGTATGGTGGTGAGTCTTAACTCCGGTCTTCCACCATCCTCTACCCGCGAAACAAGAAAAATGAGGAATTGAAAAGTTAATTAATGTCCAAACTGTTAGTTGTTACTTCTTATAACTTCTTCGGTTATATTTTTTGCAAAAGCCATGTACTATGCTGTATTTAATTAAACATTTTTAGAAATATTTTCTTCTCAGTTTGTACCAGAAATTATTGTGCAGAGATCCCAACCGTAATATAAATTTTCTGTGTCCATATGCTTTGTTCTCTGCTATAAAGTGTGATATGACTGACCTTATCTGTCATTTGAATAATAGATACCTTCAGATGGTTTTGAAGCCGTGCCTAAGCTTCAGATCCTGGATCTAAGTGGTAATCCAGCTTCATTACGTGATGGTCCTGCATTTTCTAGTTTGCCATACCTGCAAGAACTTTACCTGAGGTTGGTTAGTTGAAAGCTATGGCGTTCTTGAGAAGACACAATCACACACTCACAGATTTAACTTTCATATACCTTTATCTTCTTGGGATCTTGTACTTAAGTTTTGCTTCACAACATAACAGAAGAATGCAGCTCGGGGAAATTCCATCAGATATATTGGGGTTGCATCAACTACGGATTCTGGACTTGAGTCAGAATTCCCTTCAATCAATTCCAGTGGTAACATTTTTTTTCGGGAGGGTGGGGTTGCTAGAAACAAGGGATTAGGTTTGTTTATTTGCCTCTTTTTCATTCAGGTCCTGTGAAAAGTTATGATAATATCTTTGAACAACATATTGGTTTGACAATGCCTCTTTGATTTAGATCTCATCAAAGTTCATATTGGCTTGACAGTCACTATTAAGTTAGAGTCCACTAATTTTTCTCTCAATTTTGAATAATGGCTTGCCAATTTTTGGAGTTTCTTCATGTCAAATTTTGTTCATTTCATGTTATTTTCTATGATAGATAATGTATTTTTACAGTTGCACGTTCATAAAATCCAATTTCTGTCTACGATTGATTGATAATTGAAGAAAGATGTCACAGTCCGATCTTTCCCTCAGTTGAATTCCTTATCATTCTTGCATGTATTGACAATTTGACATTGGGGTAAGTTATACACATGCATGCAGACACGCAAACTCATCACATAAAACCTGCCTAATAGACACAATGATCTATTTAAAAAATAGGAAATTTTATTATTATTTTTTTGCCATTGCTTACCTATGAACTTGCTTTCAGGGGTTAAGAAATCTTACTTCTCTCATGGAGCTTGACCTATCGGATAACAACATCTCAGCCCTTCCATCTGAGCTGGTGAGAAACGCACATTGCCCCTTCCCCCAAAAGAGAAGTGGGAGGAGTGTTCATTTTAACGTAATTTCATTACTTTATTGCAATTATTGTGTTTCATACAAATTACAAACTTAAACTATGAGAAATAGGTGGTGCTATAGATAGAAAAGAAAAATAGATGGAAATTATTTTGACCGAGTCTCCATGCCATCATTTTGATCATTTGCATATGTAAAACCCGTGGCTTGTTTTTATAACTTCAATTCATTACATTTATTTTAAGAAATTGATTTGATCAGGGTTTGCTGGAACCAAGCCTTCAGGCATTGAGACTTGATGGCAATCCACTCAGAAGGTAACTTCCTCCTGCCCCGACCTTTCCATTTGCTTTCTCAAAATGGACCTCCTTTTTCTTACAATAATCTGGATAAGTATAAATGCTTTGTGCATCTCTGTTATATTTGTGCTTTAAGGTTAAATTTTCAAATGCAGAACGATTAACACAAAAAATCACTGTCAAGAAATACATTTTTCAAGTTATTCCCCCTTTCTTCTAACTCACATTGTCAACTTTGTACCCCTTGAAGTGGATGGAGCCTCAATGCTTCACTGACTCATCAATTTTATTATGTTTTTGTATGTCTATCATTGTGCTACTACCTGACTAGTTGAAAGGTTTACTTGACCAACTGAACTCCTTCAAAAGTAAAATGCAATGCGTCCTAAGTTCATAACAAAGCAGAAACAAAATATAGAGATCAGTTAGATCTTTACGACATGATGAAAGCTAGGTGTCCAAATTGAACGGATAACCTTGATCGATTAAATCTTAATAATTTTTCTTCATTTGTTTCAGCATTCGGAGGACTGTCTTGGACAAAGGAACTAAAGCTGTTCTGAAATATTTGAGGGACAAATTGCCAGAGCACTAGCTAATATTTTTCATTTACGGAAGTATTATCCTGGACATGAACAACAAAATTTAAAGTGTTCATTTTTATTTTATTTTTTTGTGTCACATTCTTTCAGTGACGCCTAGCTAAGTGTGCCTAGCTAAGTGTCCGCGTGCTTCATTTTGTTCATTTTTTTCCCGCATATGGCACTTCTGCTTTTATTTGTGTTATTTCATGTAACTCCACTATTTGTATATTTAACATTACAAAGTAATTTGCTGCGCTTGTATTATATTAGTTTCACTGTAATCTTCTCTCCGCTCTTACACTGCTTCAATCCCAATCCTCACACCCTCAGCCACCTCTATGTTGAGGTTCCACTCGAGGGAAGATACTTTAACTGGATTTTACATTATAATCGGATCGTTTTGGAATTGTGAGTTGAATTGTTCTGCTGTTCATCTACGTTGTCATTTCGAAAAGGATCTATTGCTTTGAAGCTTAATATGAGCACGACCTTCTGTGCTTGTGAGCTTTCGTCTGAGATCAATTTATCTTGTCGTGAGTGTCATTGTGGTAGTTATCTCTTGAGAGAAGAGATATGCACCTTGATAACCATGCACTCTCCCTCTCTGATGATGGAAAGAGGAAACCATTGTTGGTTCTTCAAAAGTCAAAACGAAAATCTTTACGCCATTTGAAGTTTCGCCAGTGACCTTCGGAAAGATGCTAAATAAAGTTTACGACCCAACGAAAGAACAAAGCATATTATCAATGTGTATTAATATTTGCCGATCATGTCTTATTATAATTTTTGCTTCTTTATTTGTTTCAGCGTTCGGAGGATTGCCTTGGATTAAGGAACTAAAGCTAAAGCTGTTCTAAGATATTTGAAAGGGCAAATTGCCAGAGGAACATTTTTTTTCTTTTATTTAAAAAGTATAAAACTGTACAAGGTCAACAAAATTCCAAAGTGTTCAGATGTTTAATTGCGTTGTCATTTATTATCTTTTTAAATATTATTCGTATAATATTATCTTTATATTCATAATCTTGAGAAAAGTTTCAACTTTTTGAGTTTCTTTTAACATCCCAATCTTTTATGGATTATATCACTTTCATGTTATATGAGAGTAATATAATTTCCAAAAGACTCATCGATTCTTGTGCTTATTTCTCATTATTACATGAAAGGAATATAATCTTTTATAAGCATTAACCTCAAGGATACGTGGAAAACGGCATTAGATAAGGAAGTTTTGAATGGGTTTGTATAATAAAACAAAAATTTAGGGCTGTATATTTATCGAAGATTTTAAAAGATTATATTGAAAAAAAATTCCGGTAAATTTTGGAAGGTTATTTAGGAATATAATGATTTTAAATTTTTTTATAATTAAGATTTTATAAGACTTGATTTAGAAGATTTTCAAGACTTTATGGTGAAGATTATAACGAGCATTGATATCAAAAACTAGTCTGAAAACATAAAAATGTAGAAATGGTAGAAACGCAATGTAAAAACATAAGTAGAAACGGCCCTTAGTAGAAACGGGTAAAAACACCGTGTAGAAACGTAAGTTTTTATGTTTTTTTACCATTTTTTCTTAAACTCAATTAAAAAAAAATCTATTTTCCATTTTTTTAAATTAAAATTTCTCTCTTAATATTTTGGACTTATATGGTTATAGGGAAATACAAGTGTTATGTTACATGAAAAATCTCCATTTACCTACACACTCAATATAGCATGGGACCCACTTCAACTTTTTTTGCTTTTTTACTATACAACGGGGCCCACAGTGTTTTTGTGTCTGTAACATGACACAAATGGTGTCATGTTACATGACAAACTATTATCCCATAGTTATATGACTTATATTTTATAAATACAAAGTTATTTATTAAATTTTGAGTAATGACTTACGTGAACTTTTTTTTACTTACATATATATATATATATATAATTTTGTATCTTAACCTTAATTAGTAAATACTTTACGTTTCGTCTCGTTTTTTTGATTTACGTTTCTACCATCCCTTTTCATTTCTACGTAAAAACTCGATTTTGACTACATTGATGATGAGTTTGCATCTGAATTTTGGTTAATCTTTTCTAAGAGTACACTAATGTATAGAAAACACAGTCCAACTCAGGGTCACGGTCATTGCGATACAATATTAATTAGGGGTGTACATGGGTGGATGGCCTAATAGGGGTCTACGACTCAGCTTATATCAGGTCAAATTTAATCTATTACATATAGTTAAATAGAAAAATTTCAGTCTTTTAAAATAATTTATTTAGAAACAGATCAATAGCTTTTTTTTACATGTCAGGTCTATATCATATTATTTATTTTATTTAAAATAAATAAAACTATTATTTTAATGATTTTGATTAACAAAGTAATATTATTTTAATTATTGAATACCTAATAAGGTCAAACAGGATAACAAGTTGTTTATCAAAAAAAAAAAAAAAACAGGCTAACGAGCTTAGATCAAGACTTTTGTTTTTTAAATATAGATCAGGTCATACTTATAATTTGGGTATATACAAGGCTAACATGCTAGGTCAGGCTGAAAGTATTTTACTTAGACCCAACCTATTTAAGTCAAAGTCTAACCCAGCTCATTTACATCCCTAATTTTAATATATTTGTTTAAAAGTCACATAAAATTCACATTAATAAAAAATTTATTAAAATAATCAAGTTTTTAACTTTCAAAATTCATACTAATAAAAAAATTCATTTAAATCATTAAATTTTTAAATATTAATTTTTTTATTCTTGATTTAAATTTTAAAATCGTGATTAAATATTATTGAATTTGGATATTCTCTAATTTTTAAAATCCTAAATAGATATCATATAAATTTTGTGGATAATTTAAAAATACTAATTGAATAAACAAAAAAAAATGCTAATTGAATCTTAATAGATTTTTTATTCAAAAATAATTCATTAACATCTTCTAAAATCTTAATTGAATTTATCCGTTTAAAAAATCCAGAAAGATTATATTAAAAAAAAAAAAAAAAAACTAAGTCCTTCAACCATGCACCCACACACTACACAGCTCTCAAAGAACACAAACACATTCCAAATTCTGCAGAAATTGGAACTCACTCACACAAATTCATGACTTAAGAATTGACGCAAACAGAAGGGAGAAGAAAGAGAAGGAAGCAAATTTGGGGGAAGAAAAGAGAAGGGTTTGTGAAAAGTGGAAGCTTTCTACTGTTGAATAAAAGGGCTTGTTGTTTAAAAATTGGAGCAATAGGTGTTGAAGGTTGTTCCTTCCACATTTCGTAAGAGGAAATCTTCAGCAATCTCAAAGGGTATCAGGTAATTTTGAGTGACTTAAATCCCTTTCTGTTCAATAAAAGCTTTATCTTGTAGGTCGCTGAAAATCTTGAAATTTCGAGTTTAGGAACATGTTTGTAATTTTGACTAACTAAACTGTAGGTTGTGAAATTATTTGGAAGTGGTTAATGTGGGTACTATTACTGTTTGCATGTGGGGATTTGTAAGGAAGTAAATTAAGGTGATCTAATGATTGTATTTTGCAGTAGAATCGTGTAGAAATTTCTGCTGTTGCTCTGTATTCGAATACCAGCCCATATTTTAGAAAAAGGCTACTTTTTTTGGTACATACATGTTGCGTAATTCCCAGAACTTATTAGTGTATTATTATATGATTGAGTATTGAACTGTGTGGAAAAGTGCACGCTTGAAACGTGTGTGTGTGTGTGTGCAAGATATTCTTACATTGGTGTAAGAATAAAAAATCTTACTCCAAATCTCAGTCATTGATTTGCTTCCATCTAACGGCTTAAATATCTAATAATTCAGAATAGTAAGATATAAATGGGATCAACAACCAAGATTAAGAGTGCAACTTATACCGTTGAAAAATGACCCATATATATATATATAAGTTGAAAAATGACCCATATATATATATATATATTACTTAGAAATAAAATTTTCATTATAAGTTCTTTGTAAATTGTATGACCCTTAGCTTATGGTACTTTTTTAGCATGTGAGGTGGATGATTTAAGATCTCCACTGGATGCAGAGAACATGCTTGTTTTTGTATTAGATTAATCTAAGTTTATGCTTCATTGATAATTTTGAGTTAATTATTCATCTTATCACCTAGAGGAGAGATGTATAACTTGATGAGCAGTTGTACTACCATGTGTACAGGTGATAGGATGGATAGTTTTTGGTCTGTAATTAAGGGTGTGAACCCATACTGATGTAATACAGATTGCTGAACAGTTTGTCTCCCTATAGAGATATCACCATGCTTGTATGTGTTCAGATTCCCCTTTTTGGTAGCAAAGCTTCCTTCTGTCTTTGTTAATTTATTTTTTTTCAAGCTAGCTATGGGGTGTTACAATCTCCAACTCCAATTCAATTTGTTTTGTAAGTTTATTTGTGCTCCTAGTTGAACTAATCTAAATTCCGGTTTTTGTACTTTGAAACTAGTCGAACATTTTCCTGTGGTTCTGTTTTTTTTTTATTTTTTATTGTAAAGCAATTTATTTTTTAATTGTTTTGGAATACCCTTCAATGTGGTTTTTTTTTTTTTTTTTAAATTTAATTTAATCATGTATTTAAAGTCTCTTTCTTCCTTCATTTTTAGATTTGCTATGGTCTGTTTGTTTTTAATTCCAATCGATGCACAGGAATATGGAGGCAAATCCACCGCATGATCATGAGGATCAAGAGGAATATATTTTGCTTGATTTGGATGGTGTTTCTGGCCTAATTGATCTTCCACCAAATGCAAAGTATGTTCTAACTGTAAGTTCCCAATCTGCTACACATACTTTCTTCATGTTTTTCATCGAATGTTTATCAAATTATCAACGTTGTAAATTTTTAACACTAGACCGTTATTCTTTTCTTGGATAAAAAGGATTATTTATCTTGATTCATACAGCATTTACCATTTCAGCTTTCTAAACATGTTTGACTTCTGGAGTGATCGAACTGTGTGTTTATAAATGAACTTTTTCTAGAACTTCTTTGGATATATACTACCTGCTAGATAAACACCAAACTTGTACTTTCATTACAGGGTTTTTTTTTTTTTTTCTTCTTTGTTACTTGTATTGTTCTTGTAATTGTTGATCCATGAGTTACCTTATTCATTTATTATATTCAACCATAGTGAAGTATATTTATTGTTAATTATAGGGCCTTGATACATTAAACCCAGTATTGATCATTGATGACAAATTCAAGCTGGTAAGTTACCTGCTTTAAAATTCCTTGGCCATGTAGAATTTTAAGTAATATTTTGATGCTCTCATATGAATCTGTTGAAGCTATTTAGACGTAGTTATAAAATCTGTCCATTTGTTTAAATGCATGTTTCTTTAATGTTATATATAGGCAGATAATTATAATGTTGAATTTCAGCTAGAAGTTCCAGCAAGTTAAAGTTATTATTTTGCATTTGATAATTTGAATTAAAACTGGGGGTTGAAATTACTTTTTTTTGCTTTTCCCTTTTCACAAGTTCAAATTACTTTTAAGCATTGTTATGGTTCCTTGTTAACTACAGATTGGGGAATATGAGGAGACAATTGGCACGTGTATTGCCTTTACAGAACAAGGTGAGTTACATTTCATGTTTTCATACTCGCTTCCTTCTAAGAGAGAACTGATTTCCAAAAGCCGATTCTTCTTCCATATTTCCTCCAAGTGACAGATTTGCAATGTCTGGATTCCTGTTTTCATTGACAATGAAGAATCATTGTTTTTTAATTGTTATTGGTACTTATCCTAGTAAAGAATTTGCGCAATTTAGTGACGCGGTCAATTAATTTCTCGCAGCCACTCTTTAAGCTTATTTAGTAGCACCTGTCAGTTGATGCTGAATCTCACCTCCTGTAGTCATATGCACTATTTACTCCATCTTAATGATTTAGTATATCTGTAATAGCAGACCCAAAAATAAACTTACAGAAGTTTCATCGTATGAGGAACATCTCTGCTTTGTATCTTCAATGTTTTTCTAGCTGCCAATCAATTGGTGAATTTGAATTTTTGGCAGAAGAATAGCTAGACTTTAATTGCTTGATAATGATGCCTTTCAAATTTTACAGTTAAGATACTCATTATTATATGGAAGACATGCTTCTGTGAAACTATTTTAATTTCATTTGCTTCACACTTGTGAGAACTGCCCAAAATAAGTTGTTTGATAAAACACCCTTTGTGCAGATACCCCTGTGGTTCATGAAGAGACAGGACCATCTGAAGTGAACCTTTTCTCAGGAACAAGAGTAATTGATTCAAGTCAACCTCCTACAAAGCAAGTGAGACCTGTGTGTCAGCTTCATAAGGTTCTCAAGTTTAAAATATCACCTGATTCTGAAATTCAGAGTGCCACAGCAAAGAAAGCCAAATGAAACTCGAAACATTAACATGGGAATTGATGGCAATTTTGTGTACTTTGGTGGGCAATGTCTTGCTGGTGATTTGTGTAGTACAGTGGCAGCAGTGCGGAGAGCTTTTTCCATTGGATTTTATTCTAGATATGTACAGAGAACCTTTTTCAATAGGGGGCACATTGTTCTTTGATACATGTTTAAGGAACATGCCTTATTCAATTATTTATTATTATTATTATTATTATTATTATTTTATTTGGTGATAAAAAAAATCTCGTAATATAAGTAGTATTTTATTTCATAGTAAATTACTTTTATATTTATACTTTTAATTGTAATTTTTATTTTAAAATCTATCTGTGTTTAAATAAATGAAATTTTTCACTTTTATTATTAACCATTGATGTTTAAATAAATGAATAAAACCTTGATTTTTTTTATAGGGACAAGATAGTGTTACTATTAAATAATGTCACTATCAATATTACTATCATATTTTAACCGTTGATTTCTGCCAATCAATGATTATCATTTATTGTGAATTAATAAGTTTGATATATGGAAATAATAACTATTGATTGACGAAAATTAACGGTTAAGATATGGTAGTGATATTGATAGTAATATTATTTGATAGTAACAATATCCTATCCCTTATTTACAACGTAACAAAATTTTTGTGGTTGAAACACTCTATTGTATAAAAATTCACATGATTTAGTAAGGTGGAATTAAAATGAGATGATTCATTCCCACCCTTTGTATAAGGGATTGTGATCCAATTAAAAAAAAAATGACCTATGTATAAAAAAAATAAAAAAATCGACCCAACAATATATATATCATAAAATAAATCAACTTGAATTCATCAATTATGCAAGAGCTTCAAACCTCTCAAAGAAAAGTATGAATAGTGCAAAGAAATTCTTATTACAATGCTTCATTTCCCTTTATTTACATAAAAGAAAGTGACACTTGGCGTCACAGAAAAGCGAGCTTCATTAGTGGATACTGGATACTTGCGCGACTATAGCAAAACCAGAATGCCCTGTCGGTGACGCAGTTTTTGTTGACGTGGCGACATTACAGAGCACCATGCGGGAACAACCTCGAGAACAAAACAAGAAGGAATCTACGCAGGTACCACCAACGCCACCATGTTTTTTTTTTTTTTTTTTAATAATCCAATTGGTTATCGCTTCGTATCAGTGTAATTCAGAGCAATTTACGTTATTAAGACTTTAAATCCTTTCAAAGATGATTTAACACACACATACGCTCACATTTTCAGGTTTCATATGTCAATTGAACTGCCATTATTATTTGTTTTTGTTTTTTTTCATTCCTTTTCACGCTTCCAGAATTCCATAAAATTCCACGCCCTCAGATTCCCCAAGTTTTCTCTCTCCTCTCTCTAATGATCCAAAGTCCACACTCTACACACAAATATTAGATAGAGAGAAAGCTAGGCGTAGAAATGGGAAAATGCCCCATACACAAACACACCTAGCAAAACCCTAACTTTTTGTGCTTTCGTTAAAGACCCACCAAACCAATCGCACTACCTTCGATTCTTATTTCCGATCTTGCACCTTTATTTTTATTTTTTTATTCTTCGGTTTTCTGCAAAAGCTAGTTCCTTTCACTTTTTCTCTCTCTCCTGGGTAGGGCTTCAGTGCTTATTCACTTGCTTTATTTTAAGCTCCTTGATTGAATTCAAGCTCGTCCATTCCGATCTCAAACACCCACCTTTTTGTTTTTTGGAATTTCTTCAGCAGTTACACATTGAATTCATTAGATCAGTGTTTGATTTGGATTTATACTAATTCGTGGTTGTTGTTGTTGTTTGTTTGCTTGCAAAAGTTCACTCTTTTTTTTTTTTTATAAGGATCTATTTCTGTTTTATCAATTTGCAGGTGAAGAAAGGTTCCTCTTTGATCTTCTATTTTTCGTGGTGATTTAGTGGGGAGTTTGATTAGTTCTCTTCTGATGTTTTATTTCCAATCACTGTTTCAATCATTACCCGCTAATTATCCATCATCTAAACCTCCTTTCTCCTACTCAATTTCCCATATTTTTCTTCCCTCCGATGTGTTTTTCATATGCTGCTTCAATTGCCTGAGATTTCGTCTCAAAATCTGATGCTTTGTTCCGGAAAGGGGGAGTAGGTGGTTGCTGTCACTGTGAATCTATCTGCAGGTTCTTTGAATCACATTTAGTTTTCTTTGGTGGGACTAAAAAAAAGATAAGAGGCTTTTAAGGATGGGAGATCGTTATAGACCTGTTTCCATTGAGGAATTGCCTTCACATTTGGTTTTAGAAATTCTGTGCTCCGGTAGGCTCAGTGCAACAGACCTTGTTTGTTTAGAGTTGACTTCCAAAACTTTTGGTGGTAGCCATGGCTTATACCCTTTCAAGTTTAAGTCCTTGATGGACTTTGCTGCTTTTCAATTATGTACCTCCCATGTTATCTATTCTAGGATGGGTTTGAATTCTCAGAGGGAGCTATATGATCGATGTGGAGGAAACTGGAAGCGAGTTTTGAGGTTCCTGCAGGCTGTGGAACAATCCTCTGAGATGGTGGAGACATTATCAGGCAATGTACTATTTCATTATATCAATCAATTACTTTTGTTAGCTTTTTGAGGGGAAAAAATGGAACTATTTTCTTACTTGAATCAAGAGTTGCTATTTTCTATTTTGATCCTATAAGAAGTAAGTTCCTAATGGGTGGGGATGTTTCCTCTTTGCTTTTCAACCCTAGGTTTTTTGAACAGAACTTATATTGCATGGTTTGGCACCATATCTTTCTCTTTCTCTCTCTGTCTCTTATGTAATAAGCGATGTAATAGTGCATCTGTGAAATGATCAGAAAAGAAAAAGAAAAATAAATGAAGTTGGATTTTTAAATGTGACGAAAATATGTTTCATAGCACCGTATTATATAATGATTTTTTAAGAAAAATCCTCATACTTTGGATAATTTTATTATTATTTTTTCACTTGCGTTTCTTTTAGTCTTCTTACTGCCTTTTTTTTTTTTAAGAAAAGTTGTGGAGTTGTAAATGATGATGAAAAAAAAAATTTATTCGTAGATGCAAATTACAACTGGAAAGTATCACACCTTGTTGATCAGCAATTCCTCTGTCTACTCCTGTGGTTCTTGTTTGTGTGGTGTACTTGGTCAAGGGCCTGAAACAACACAGTGTGTAGCGTTTACCCGGATTGATTTACCACCTTTGGCACGTGTGGTTCATGTTTCAGCCTCCTATAACCATGCAGCTTTCGTGATGCAATCTGGTGAGGTATGCAGCGGCTTAACATTTACTCAATTAGTTATGACTCATGAGTAAGTCATTAGTCCGGAACATAAAATATATGTTGGTCTGGTTGTGGTGTCAACTGATGCAGCAGCTTTAAGAATGGAGATATAAATAAACCAACCATTATTAATCTTGTATGTTACATTTTTAAGCTTATGAGAAAGTAGGTTTTTTGACATAATCTCTGAACCAAGAATTCTAGAATCAAGAGTTTGATACCTACCACCCTCACTCTCCTGGAATAAGGTAAGGCTTCTCCTTTATCATGCTTCAAGCCCGAAAGGCTTTTGGATGGTGGGGGAACATATTAGAAGATATAATTAAAGCCACTTTGGGGTTTAGTACTAAAAGCTTTAGTGCTTTACATATTTCTTGACAAAGAAACAATTGTGCTTTTCTAAGAAATGTGTTTTTTCTTCTTAAATTAAAGATTTTTACTTGAAGCTAGGAATAGGATATGGGAAATGTTTCTTTCTTGTCACTCCTGTGCCATTCCAGTCCTTGTATTTATGAGCTTGTTCAGTGTCATTTTGTACTGGCAAACTAGAGAGAGACATCAGTAGCTCAGAACATTTTACGTTGTGGTTGTTCAATTCAACATACTCTGCATCCAGGTTGCAATTTAGAGTTTGATTGACTTTGTCGCCGGAGAGCTTTTATGTAATTCCTTTTAAAGGAGGGTGTTAATTTTACTCATGTTTTGAAGTACACATTGTAGACACTAGCATGAGTCCAATTTGGACAAATTATGAAGTCAAGTCGCAAAATTTCTCCTGAATTGACTAAAAAGAAAATGAATACATGAGGTTCGGGTAAAGAAGCTTTATGGGAAAAGAGAAAGAAGATTTTTTCTCTGGGGACTAGGATAGAATAAGTTGGCAGAAGTAAGGTCAGAAGAAGGGGGAACCATTAGGGCAGGTTCAAGTCTCAATATTATTTCTTTCATCTGTCTTTCCCCTGTTTTACTTCTGTCCTTCAATATATTCTTTGTTGTCTAAAGATTAAAAAATGTTATAGTGCCATTACATGAATTGGGTTAAATGGGTGAACAGTATGAAGTCTATTAATTTAATGACTCATCCACGCTTGTTTTCAAACTTCTTTTTTGCAGTAATTGTTAAAGGCTTGAATATAAATTTTCTGAAAATTTTTAGTAATTGAGATAAAACTGCAATCCTTCTTCTATTACAAATAAACAGTGATTGGGCTGCTGGTAGAATCTTTATGAAAATCTTCTGCTCCCAAAATATGAAACTTCTATTTTAAATGTTTTCCACTTTGCTCTCTAAAATGCAGGGTGTAGATTTATTTACACTTTTTCCTTTAACAGTGGTCCACTTGACTCTGTAAAGTGCACCCTGCACTTAACATTATCTTGTTCCTAGGATTGGAACAGATTTGACTTTGTAGTTTTGTGAAAATGATTAAAAGACAGGTATTAATAGGTGGTTTTACTATTTCTAATGTCTCTTAGTATGAGCAACATCATATTAAAATTTTGTAATTTTTGTCTATCAATTAAGATTTTTCTGATAGAACCCTTCCAAGTCCAAACAATTCAACTCACAATAACACAGAAATTGGGAAATAAATTCTGGAATCTTGTATTTCAAATTTCAATGACAGAAAATTACAAGATATGGTTCAGGCTTGAAAGAAACAGAATTACAGTGACGAAAGAGTCTACAATTACTTGTGAAACTGTAATGCAGAAAAGGGAAAATTACAGTAAAAAGAAAGATAGTGTAGAGCAATTAGAGAGGCTCTACTCTCTCCCAAGTCCCATGTCCAAGCAATATCCAAGATGTTTCTCATGCTCCCGTCCCTCCACTACTTATTTAGCTTTTCCCTCCATTTCTTCCCTACCGTTTTCTGTTTTAGTCACACCTAACAACTCATTTGCTGACTCATCCAAATTGCTTTCCCTAAATGCCCTCAAAGGTAGTATCGTATCAGTTTCTTCCTCTGGGGTTCAGTTTTATATCAAGAGTCTGGAGGGATAATGCAAATGATTTGGAAATGATGTATGCAGTACCTTCACTCATTAATGTTCAAGAATAACTGTGTGGTTTAATTGGTTCAACTTAGCTGCAAATTTATTATGATTCATAAAAGCTCTATATATACTGCTAGTTGTATAGATTTTTCTGCATGTTCCATAGTGACAACTCATATCTATTGTTGTTTATTTTTCCTGGAATTGAAAAGGATGGTTTCAGATTGTAAAATGATTAATAATTGTTTCCCTCATAAGCTCACGACTTCACCTTTGACTGGTGCAGGTATTCACATGCGGAGATAATTCATCTTCTTGCTGTGGGCATAGAGATACAAGCCGGCCAATTTTTAGGCCACGTCTTGTTGAATCCCTGAAGGGGATTCCTTGCAAGCAGGTAAACTGCCACTCATCACCATCAAAATATTATTTATAGATGAGAATGTTTGGCTGAGTTTAAAGTTAATGGTTGGTAGCGTATTATATGTTAATATTAATCTCATGGGGTGGCTAATCTGACTTTTGTCTACGGAATAAATAGCTCATTCCAAAGCTCACTTTGCTTCTATTATTTATAATTTTTTCTGCCTTGCAATATGTTTAGATCTTAGTCTGATATATTTCAAGGTTGGTTACTTGTTTTAGTCATACTTATTAATCTTGGATAGCGGTGCGTAGCGACTGACCCTCCAAACTGCTATAGCACTATAGCGGGTAGAGCTACAACACTACTGTGCAAAGTATATCTAAGTGATACACTAAATTGTACTTCACAAATATAAAACTTAAAATATGAAAATGTGACATAAAAAACAAATTTGAAGGATCTCAAACTCAAACATAAATGATTTCAAACATTAAAATTCAAATCATAAGCAAATTGAAGGAATTAAAGTCTCAAATAATGTAAGACAACAAAATAAAGTGGTAAAATTAGTCAAAATTCAAACTGTCACTTAATTAAAATGTCAAAATTAAAGAACTTAAGGAACTAATCATAATTGAAATCATGAATATCCAAATCTCATCTTCACTTCCACTTGTATCTAAGTTGTAAATCTCTTCCTTCTACGACGAGAACACTTTTGTAGAAACTACTGTAGTGGCGCAATAGCACTGCGATTCAGCTGTAATAGCGGTCACTACATCTGCTACACTTCGCCTGACCGCCGTGGCGCTGTTTGTGGTGGGCGGCCACTGCACCGCAATGCAACTCTGCTTTAGCGCGCTATAGCGGGGCTATTCACAAGTATGGTTTTAGTTTCTTACTAAGTTATTTTAAGGGGGTTCTTATCTCTTTGATAAAAGTGGTTTGTCATATATTCGAGACATTGTGTTGTTTCAATTGCAAATCCTGTGTTGAGTCCAAACAACTGTCCATGCTGATAGGCATAAGATGTTACACCAGTTTGCTGTGATGTGCTGTTTTCTCATCATACTCTTCCAATTTTATTGCATGTCCATTAAGGGACGAGCTTTTCAATTCTATTTTATTTTTTTTTATTTGTTGCACGAATTGTGTTTTTCTAAGGTCTCCTTTTTAAGATATTGAAGTACATGAATGTCTATCAGGTTGCAGCAGGGCTTAACTTCACAGTCTTCCTCACTAGACAAGGTCATGTTTATACGTGTGGAACCAACACACATGGCCAACTTGGTCATGGTGACACTCAGGACAGACCAACCCCCAAAATGATTGAATTCCTTGGTAATGTTGGCTCAGTTGTTCAGATTGCTGCCGGACCAAGCTATATCTTATCTGTCATGGAAAATGGAGCAGTGTACTCCTTTGGATCAGGTGCTAATTTCTGTCTTGGCCATGGCGATCCACACGACGAGTTTCAGCCACGTGCTATTCAGAAATTTAGAAGGAAAGGTATTCATGTTGTCCGTGTATCTGCTGGGGATGAGCATGCAGTGGCACTTGATTCAAATGGATTTGTGAGTTTCATTGGACTAGATAAATTTTCAACTTTATTTGTTATACTTGGTTTGGATTGTTTGCTCCAATGTTTCTGTTACTGATGGTCCAGGTATATACATGGGGCATGGGATACTGTGGTGCTTTAGGCCATGGAGATGAGATTGAGAAGACAACTCCAGAGATCTTGACTAGTCTCAAGAGTCACTTGGCTGTTCAGGTATTATAATTTATATCCTTAAATTTGTTCAATTTGTATTGAGATAAAATGGTTTACAATAAGAAAATCTATTCTTTGCAATTTGGTTTTCTGAAAATCAAGTGTTTTTCATCCTTTTATTGTGATGAGATTGCTTAGTCCTATAATATTCATACTTTAAATGCTTATTTGTTACTTGTAGGTGTGTGCAAGAAAGAGGAAAACATTTGTTCTTGTTGATTCTGGTTCAGTCTATGGCTTTGGCTCAATGGGATTTGGTAGCCTGGGATTCCTGGATAGAAGGATATCTGATAATAAAGTCTTGAAACCTCGAATATTAGATACCTTGAGAAGTCACCATGTTTCTCAAATTAGCACTGGCTTGTACCACACTGTAGCAATCACTAGCCGTGGACAAATTTTTGGCTTTGGAGATAATGAGAGAGCACAACTTGGTCATGACACATTAAGAAGCTGTCTTGAGCCCATTCAAATTTTCTTAAAAGATACATCTGAAGATATAGAAAGCATCTGAGTGAGATACTTCAAAAGCAAATCACCTCTTTTTATGTATGGTTCTGGCATATCAGTTCCCTGACTTTTCTACTATGATAAATACTGGTAACTTTTTCTGTTTTATATTGTATTATAGTTTTTAAAAAAGTAATTATAATAACAGGTTACATTGTCCCCATTTTTCAATATGCTATAGGGTGTGATTTCATTTTGCTATGAAAATCCTGGATCTTTCTTTCTTTCTTTTTTGTGATTAGTAGGAGATTATCTTCTATACATACCTAAAAGTGTATGGGCCTGTTATCAAAAAAAAAAAAAAAAAGTGTATGGGCCATGTGAAAATAAGAGAGAGAAAAAATTATGGATTTTTTTACACTTTTATGTATATTAGGAGATAAAATTATTTCTTATAATATGAAAAATATTAATCTTTTTTTTTCCTGCAACATTTTATTAATGGATAATGAATGCAGTGTCATGTCAGATTTAATTTCCTTTCAGGTACTTTTTTGATAATATTTTTGTTTCTATAATTTCTATTCATTTGGGTTTGTGATATTTATAGTTTTTTTAAGTTGATTTTTTATTTATTTGAGTTTTGGTCTTTCGAGACCAATGCCTTGATAAGTGGAATCATAATAATCAGTTTTTCATAAAAATACTAATATCTTAATAATTAGGGATTAAAAATTAAATGAGAAAAAAATATATAGCCGGTTGATGCTTTAATAGTAGGAATTAAAAATTTAAATTCGGATAAAGATAGAGATTGAATTTTTTTTTTAAAAAAACTAAAGATTAAAACAAAAATTGTTAGCAACTATTAGGATTATTTTTTTATGTTCTGTCATTAAGTGATATAGACATCTATTTGAAAATACATCAAATTTTATAAATTATATCTTCATATAATATCTGCATATATATTAATTTTTATTTTGGAAACACATTTTAAAAATGAAGTGTTTAAGGATAAAATTATGGGTTAAACAAGCATCCTATCACAGTAAAAAAATAAAGTTATCCTGTTGACACAACAACTTGGGCCCACATATTTTTTTAAAAAAATAAAATTAAAAATCAAGCACAGTTATCGATGTTTCAGCAGGATAACTTTTCTTTATTCCTGTAACATTATATTCAGTTTAAGCTTAAAATTATCTTTGCAACTTCAAAACGACTCAGATTTTGGATTTTGAAATTAAAAAAAAAAAATTATGTCAGACATTTTGAAAATTTGCTTGCAATATGAAATTTTTTTTGAAACTTAAAAATAGCATCATTTTAAGTTATATGGGATAACTTTTATCTCTCGCAGCAGAAATACTAATATAGAGAATCATTTTTATTGATATTTTTCAAATAATTTTATAAAAAAAACCATATATGTAAAAAAAAAAAAAGGATCCATATTTTCTTATGTTACAAGACAACATAAAGAGAAAGAAATAAAAAAAAAACAGAGACAAATCAAATATGGATCTTACACTTTACAAAAAAAAAATAGAGTAAAATACTCTTTTTGGTCTTCAGCTAATTTTACGAAATTCATTTTAGTCTCTAGCAAATAAAAAGGCCCATCGTGGTCCCTAAGAAATTTAAAATGGACCTATTTTAGTCTTTTTGAGGACTAATATGAGTCTTTTTTAAATTTGTGAGGGACCTCGATTTCAACTAAATGAGTCCATTTTGAATTTCTTAGGGATCACAATGGACTTTTTTATTTGTTAGGGACTAAAGCGGGCTTCGTAAAATTTGTTGAGGACCAAAAAAGATATTTACTAAAAAAAAATAAAAATTGATTAGCACAGGGAACGATCTCTTTGCAAGAAATTTTTTTGCTTCGTGTCATAGGAGAGCATGATTTTCCAAAAAAATATTAACTAGAGTAACAGAAGCACCCTTGCCCTATTTCCTTTTTTATTATCAAAATTTGCTTACAGTTTAAAACAGTCCGCGTCTCTAATATTTTTTTCTAAAAAGAATTAAATGATTATGCCTATACCTTGTCTTCCCGTGTTGGAGTAAATAAAAAGAAAAAGAAAAAATACACGTAAGTAATTTATGTCGTTCGTATTGGACAAGGGTCGTGTCATGTCATGCCCATGTTTAGCACGTGAACACGACGTCAAAATGGAATGGCGTGTCCATGTTCAACTGAGTTTCAATTATCTCACACTCAAACAAATATTGTTGACTTATTCTAGCGAAACTCCTTGTCTAGATTTTTTCTAAACTTAAATCCGTCAAAGAAAATGTGTTCGTTGTTTCCTATGAACCACACCACATTGTTTGTCACTCAAATGTTGGCATTGATTTAAAATTTCAGCTAAGGCTAAATTTAGCCAGACACTGTTAATTTCAATGAAGTACTTCAATGCCAATGACAGAATGGTGTCCATCTATCCAAATCTAAACTTGTCTACAAGTTTGTATGAGAAAAGGGACTTTAATAATCTGTTATTTAAGGGGGCACCTCTAGTACAAACTCAGTTCTTCAATAGTTTCTTTCAATTCCTAAATGTATTAAAATTAGACTTATTTCACTCGGAAGGTAATATATTTCATTGTTATCAAAATCGAACTGGACCCTTATCTGGTTCAGTCAGCAAATTAGTTGTTCAATTAACTTGATATCAAACCAGTGTACTGGTTATAAATTACAGTTCAAGTCCTATTGATGGTTACCAATAAGACTTAGCACTAGAACTTTGTTGTTAAAGAGCTTTATTATTTTTTGCTCCCGGAGCACATCCCCCCTCGATGGGCTCCAAGAGAGAGATATGAGAAATTAAGGGGACGCATTTGGTAGAAGAGAAATTTTTTTACCCGAAAGTCACGATTTTCAATAATATGGTGGGAAAATGAGTTTTTCAAAAATATTACCAAACAGTTATTTGGTAGGCCAAAATATCCATGAAATGTTGAGTTAATTTTTTTGATGTTATGTTTGGCTGTGTTAAATGTTTTCTTTCCATGGAAATCCTAGAATACCACCTCTTATGTGGTATTCTTGGATGATCTTTTCAGAAAATTTTACACACAAAATAAAATCCCTGAAAAATTAGATTCCTGATAAAATTTTAGAAATTTCATACCAAACATTGGTAAATAAGGTTATCAATCTCAATTTCCCGAAAATCCTAAAAAATAACTTTTACCAAACACCCTCTTAGAAGAAAGGGGAAAAAAAATTTGTTGTCACTCCCTGAATAGAAGACCACATGGGAATATGGGATCAAGAGCACCAAATTTTTTTCCGTTGTTAAAAGATTTCTAATATTATATGGGGAATGATATTGTAACAACCAAGTTGTGTTACTATCAAGTGACTACCAATCAATCTCACCGTTAGATCGATTATGTTGATCTAACAGTTATATTTATTTCCATCTTTGTATGGTTATGATTCCCCGTATTTAATACTTTATATTTATTTTCACCTTTGTATGATTATGATTTCCTATATTTAATGCTTTCACTTTAAATATGGGGAATCATGACCATACAAAGATGAAAATAAATATAACCGTTGGATCAACATAATCGATCTAACTGTGAGATTGATTAGTAGTCACTTGGTAGTAACACAACTTAGTTGTCACAATATCTTTCCCCTAAATATAATGGGTAAATTATTTCCAATGACTCCCAAAATTACGTCGTTTAAAATTAATGTAGGGTATTTCTGTAATCTTAGGGGAATGAACGAAAAGTGTTTCGATAAAATTCATATGATTAAAAAATAGACAAAATTACAAAAAGACCTTTCGTTAATTCAAAATGATAAAATTACGTCGTTTAGAATTAATGTAGGGTATTTCCGTAATCTTAGGGGAATGAACGAAAAGTGTTTCGATAAAATTCATGGGGAAAGATATTGTGACAACCAAGTTGTGTTACTACCAAGTGACTACCAATCAATATCACCGTTAGATCGATTATGTTGATCCAACGGTTATATTTATTTCCATCTTTGTATGGTCATGATTCCCCATATTTAAAGTGAAAGCATTAAATATGGGAAATCATGACCATATAAAGGTGAAAATAAATATAAAGTATTAAATATGGGGAATCATGATCATACAAAGATGGAAATAAATATAACCGTTGGATCAATATAATCGATCTAACGGTGAGATTGATTTGTAGTCACTTGGTAGTAACACAACTTGGTTGTCACAGTTACTTTAGATAAGTTTATCTAATGTTCACCGAAATGATGTCATTGTAGTCGAAAATCATGATGTGTTTGTAATTTTAATTTATTTCGGAATTATAATAATCTTTATCATTTTGATTTTTTAATTTTTCAACTCAAAACAAACGAACATTATACTTTTAAAGTAACATTAAATATATTTTTTCCCCGATATTTATTATATAAATCCATATAAATCCAATTTAATAACATTGATTTAGTGTGTGCTGTCTTCATCTCTCGTGACACTTAGAACCAAACAACATGGCATATACGCATTTTTAGAAAATATTTTTGTTTTAAGAGGATTTGTGGGTTATCAAATAAACCGCTGAAAATAAACTTAATGCTTCTAACCTTTACCACAAAAGATCTGAAGCCAAAATGGTGTACAAGTCTGGTTGCTTTCCTACTATGCATCAATCTCATTTTATTTTATTAACATAAAAAGCATTTTCATGGAGATGGGAAAATTTAAGTACTTCTAAGAAAACTTACACGGGAAAAACTGGTGCTTAACACAGAAAGGCATTAAAGGGAATTTTATTAGAAAGTAAATACACTGAAATAAATCAAACAACACAAGCCACAACCGAATATTCATAACAGAAGGCTCATGTTCATAGACCTTAGTTCATGCTTCTCTATGAGAATCCAAAGCCAAAACTTTTGTCACAGCTTCCTAGTCATCTAAATAGTCTCTACATTTTCTCTGAACACCTTCAACATATTAGAAAAAGTTACAATGCCAACTAAGCTACAATCATCCTCAATAACCCACAAGTAGTTCACTCTGTGAGCAATTGCCTGAATCATCACAGCAACCAAAGAACTCTTGGGATGACACACTATAGCTTCTGCCTTCCTCACCATCCTAGCTGAGTAGCTATATGACCTTGTGTACCTTCCTGATCTCATCATTGTCCTTTTTGATGATTCCTCATCAGAAGAAGATGAAGATAATGATAATGCTGATGATGTGTCACTGACCAAAGATGACAAAATTGTAAACTCTTGTAACATTTTCTCCAAATTTTTCTCCTTCAACCTTGCCTTCACAACTCTCACTAGATCTTCTGGAGGACCACCACAATCAATGTAGGCCATCAAGTCCCCTGCAGATAAAGTGGTGATAGCAGCTGCAACAGCCTCATCACAGCAAGCAAGTGTGAAGGGTGAAATCTCACCAATGAAAGTACCATCACTATCAACAATAGCAACAGAAGTTTGTTGAATAAGGGACTTTGAGATTGCTCCGATTGCAGAAGATGCAGGGGAGTAGTAATCAATGGCAAGCACATCAGAGTTTATAATCTCAAGAGCATCAATGGAAATTGCAGGTAGTGGAGTGAATAGGCCAATTGAACCAATCAAGAACCGAATCACATCCTCTTGTGTTAACCAACAAAACTCACGACCATTATGGCTGTTTATTGTAGAGGCCTTCTGAGGCTGTTTTCTCCTTGAAATGCCACTCCTCTTTGTTTGCAATATTGGCACCACAAGATTCTGTGCTCCTTGGAGTATGAGATCAATTGCTTCCAACAAACTGAAACATCAAAATAACAAAATGAAGGGGTTAATCAACTTAATTCTTAAAACACAAACAAAAACAGAATTTCAAGTTTCACCTTCAAAATTTTTATAATTAGACTTTTTTTTAACCATGTAAATGAAACACCCCAAAATAGAAAAAAACAAAAAAAAAAACAAACTTTAGATTCAGCTAATTCAATCCATGTTTTAATGAATAAAAACTTAAACAACAATTAAGCAATGAAACAAGGAAAAATATTTTTGATTTTGCTTTTTTATCTCTTTTCTTTTCACAAGAGAATCCAATTCATTCATTTTTATGTGAATGTGAGGGAGAAATATTTTTCGGAAAAAACCCATGAAATAAAAAGAATAAATCAACGTCGCCATTATAATGATTAAAAAAAAAGAAGGAAATAAAGAAATAGAGAGAGAGAGAGAGATGTGTTAAGTGTTAACCACCTTGAAGAAGGTTCGAGATGCACAACGAGATTTGGAACCTTAGGTAGAATTGAAGAAACGGGTGCTTTGAGAGCAGAGGAAGGAGACAAGAGGCTCTCCTCTTTGCAAAGGTAGCAAATAACATCAACCATACACAGTTTCCCAACACATTCACAACAACCCAGTTCCTTGTTTTCGATTCCACGCGAGTGGTCGCATCTCCACACGCTTATGAAGCTGTCGTCGGAGCTCTTAATTGCGGCCAAGGCCTCCGCGACGGTGACTGAAGCAGAGAGCGACCTCAACGGTGGCTTCCCAAGGCAGAGGTCAGATACCTCACGCGCCAGAAAATTCACTTCCATGCAAAGGGTAAAGCTCCGGTGAAAGAGAATGCGGCTGCGGCTGCGGTGGTTGTTGCGGTGGCGTTGGCGGTGGCAGGGGAATTGGTGAGAGGGTGTGTGTTTGAAGACAGGAAAGCAAAGGGTAGTATTTATAAAGTACAAAATAGTTGTGTGATTGTGAAGTGTGAACTGAAAGGCAATTGGGGTACGGTACTTAGGTACAACAAAGTTGTGTGACTCACTATTGTTTTGTCCTTTTTTTGGTACAATTGGTGTTCATTATCTTATTTGGGAAAATTAATTAATCTAATTTAAAAATTTATCTAATCTTATTTTATGCTATTTTTAAAATGAATCTACCACATATTTAAAGAAAAGTAAAATAGCTTAATTCTATTCTTTTTTATTTTTTAAAAGGGATATATGTAATAGAGTTAAAAGTCTGGCACAATGATTATTTTGTCATTTTTTGGCAAAAAAAATTATTGGATTGTCAAATTAGGAAAAAAATTTGTCAAAATATCACGTCACCAAATTCATTACACTTTGCAATGAGATTATTAGGTACCATGTCAGCGAGTTTAAGACCATGTAATCTCGTTGCATTGTGAAGCGAGATTATGTGACAGAGCCTAGCATTTTATCTAGCGCTAGTAATAATTTGACATGTCGATTAAAAGGATGAATAAATGCTGATTTCTTTTTTTTATTTTCATTTTAAAAAATATAATACACAGTAAAGATGATGAAGTGTCCATGGAAAAATGATAGAGACAAATTAATGTCCAATGAATACTGATTTGTTTTTTATTTTCTTTTTATAAAATATAATACACAATAAAGACGATGGACTACCCATGAAAAAATGATAAAGACGATTTAATGACCAAAAAACGCTGATTTTTGTTTTTGTTTTCTTTTTCGAAAATATAATACACAATAAAGATGAATGACTACCCAATGGAAAAACGATAAAGACGATTTAATGTCCAATAAATGCTGATTTGTTTTTTTGTTTTCTTTTTGAAAAATGTAATACACAATAAATACGATGGAGTGTCAATGGGAAAATGATAAAGACGATTTAATGTCCAATAAATGCTAATTTGTTTTTTGTTTTCCTTTTGGAAAATATAATACACAATAAAGATGATAAATGCCAAATGGAGTATTCATAGAAAAATGATAAAGATGATTTAATATCCAATAAATGCTGATTTGTTTTTGTTTTCTTTTAGAAAAATCTATATATATATAAAGGAGAGTTCACTGCTGAAAAGTTTTGCCAAGTGTCACTCCCTGGTTAATTCTACAATTTGGTTATATACGAACTTTCTTTATTGGGTAAATTTGAAAAAAAAAACTCTTTTAAAAATTGAATTTTAATTTTTAAATCGAATAGTAGTTGCAAACAAGGCATTGAATGTCCCACTGCCCATCACATTGGTATCCAAAAAAATCAGGTGTTTTAATTGCTTTTTATGTTGGAATTGGTTATCTCATCTGAAATTCGAAATTTTAAATGGTTTATCAATTAAATTTCGAAATTATGTATTTATTTTGCGCAATCTGAAATTTGAAATTTTAAATTCAATAAAAAGAAAACTCTTTTCACGGACATGCATTCACAATCTCTATTCATGGAGATCAATAGAAACAAAAACAAATTTCACAATTGTTGAAGACCTGATCGTCATTCAATTCACAATTTCGTTATAGTTATTTTTAAAAAAAAATATATACAATAATGATATAACAAAGACATTATCTTTGTTATATAGACATTATCTTTGTTATAGATTTGATTCAAATATCATAACAATCAAGAATCAAGAGAGCTGACAGACAAAATAAATTAAATCCCAAAACCAAAACTATCATATCAGATAAACTATCATACCAATATTCTTTTAAAAATTGAATTTCCGCACCACTAGGGTTAGCCTAGTGGTGTGGGGTGTGTGTGTTAAGAGTGTGTGTAGTGTAGGGTGTTGTGTTCAATTCCTTGTAACCTCCAAAAAAAAAAAAAATTGAATTTTCGAAATTTTAAATGGTTTATCAATTAAATTTCGAAATTATGTATTTATTTTGCATAATCTGAAATTCGAAATTTTAAATTCAATAAAAACAGAATAAGACATTATCTTTATTATATAATTGATTCAAATATCATAACAATCAAGAATCAAGAGAGCTGACAGACAAAATAAATTAGATAATCAGGTGTTTTAATTGCTTTTTATGTTCGAATTGGTCGTTTGATCTGAAATTCAAAATTTGAAATGGTTTAAAATTTTGAAATTAAATATGGATGGTGGGAAAGAATTTCTTTTAAAAATCGAATTTTAATTTTGTAATTGAATAATTAAATGACCGTTTATGGTGGCAGACATAAAAGAATAATTAATTAATAAATATGATTTTGAAATTCGAAATTTTAATTGGATAATCAAGTGTTTTAATTGCTTTTTATGTTGGAATTGGTCGTCTGATATGAAATTCGAAATTTGAAATGGTTTAAAATTTTGAATTTAAATATGGATGGTGGGAAAAGAAATTCTTTTAAAAATCGAATTTTAATCTTTAAATCGAATAATTAAATGACCATTTGTGGTGGCAGACAAGACATTGAATGTCACACTGCCCATCACATTGGTATCCAAAAAGAAATCATCTGATTTAATTGCTTTTTATGTTGGAATGCGTCATCTGATCTAAAATTCAAAATTTAAAATGGTTTAAAATTTTGAATTTAAATATGGATGGTGGGAAAAGAATTTCTTTTAAAAATCAAAATTTAATTTTGTAATTGAATAATTAAATGACCGTTTGTGGTGGCAGACATAAAAGAATAATTAATTAATAAATATAGTTTTGAAATTTGAAATTTTAATTGGATAATCAAGTGTTTTAATTGCTTTTTATGTTGGAATTGGTCGTCAGATCTGAATTTTGAAATGGTTTAAAATTTTGAATTTAAATATGGATGGTGGGAAAATAAATTCTTTTAAAAATCGAATTTTAATCTTTAAATCGAATAATTAAATAAACATTTGTGGTGGCAGACAAGACATTGAATGTCCCACTGCCCATCACATTGGTATCCAAAAAGAAATCAGCTGATTTAATTGCTTTTTATGTTGAAATGCGTCATCTGATCTAAAATTCGAAATTTCAAATTGTTTAATATTTTGAATTTAAATATGGATGGTGGAAAAATAATTTCTTTTAAAAATTGAATTTTAATTTTGTAATTGAATAATTAAATGACCGTTTGTGGTGGCAGACATAAAAGAATAATTAATTAATAAATTTGGTTTTGAAATTCAAAATTTTAATTTGATAATCAAGTGTTTTAATTGCTTTTTATGTTGGAATTGGTCGTCTGATCTGAAATTCGAAATTTGGAATAGTTTAAAATTTTGAATTCAAATATGGATTGTGGAAAAATAAATTCTTTTAAAAATCAAATTTTAATCTTTAAATCGAATAATTAAATGACCATTTGTGGTGGCAGACAAGACATGGAATGTCCCACAGCCCATCACATTGGTGTCCAAAAAGAAAACAGCTGTTTTAATTGCTTTTTATGTTGGAGTGCGTCATCTCATCTGAAATTCGAAATTTTAAATGGTTTATCAATTAAATTTCAAAATTATGTATTTATTTTGCGCAATCTGAAATTCGAAATTTTAAATTCAATAAAAAGAAAACTCTTTTCACGGACATGCATTCATGATCTCTATTCATGGAGACCAATAGAAACAAAAACAAATTTCACAATTGTTGAAGACCTGATTGTCATTCAATTCACAATTTCGTTATGGTTATTTTTTAAATAATATATACACAATAATGATATAACAAAGATATTATCTTTGTTATATATTTGATTCAAATATCATAACAATCAAGAATGAAGAGAGCTGACAGACAAAATAAATTAGATAATCAGGTATTTTAATTGCTTTTTATGTTGGAATTTGTCGTCTGATCTGAAATTCGAAATTTGAAATGGTTTAAAATTTTGAATTTAAATATGGATGGTGGGAAAAGAATTTCTTTTAAAAATAAAATTTTAATTTTTAAATTGAATAATTTAATGACTGTTTGTGGTGGCAGATATAAAAGAATAATTAATTAATAAATATGATTCTGAAATTCGAAATTTTAATTGGATAATCAAGTGTTTTAATTGCTTTTTATGTTGGAATTGGTCGTCTGATCTGAAATTCAAAATTTGAAATGGTTTAAAATTTTGAATTTAAATATGGATGGTGGGAAAAGAAATTGTTTTAAAAATCGAATTTTAATCTTTAAATCGAATAATTAAATGACCATTTGTGGTGGCAGACAAGACATTGAATGTCTCACTGCCCATCACATTGGTATCCAAAAAGAAATCAGCTGATTTAATTACTTTTTATGTTGGAATGTGTCATCTGTGTAAAATTCGAAATTTGAAATGGTTAAAAATTTTGAATTTAAATATGGATGGTGGGAAAAAAAAAAATTTAAAAATCGAATTTTAATTTTTTAAATCGAAGAATTTAATGACCATTTGTGGTGGCAGACAAGGCATTAAATGTCCCACTGCCCATCACATTGGTATTCAAAAAGAAATCAGCTGTTTTAATTGCTTTTTATGTTGGAATTGGTCATCCGATCTAAAATTCGAAATTTGAAATGGTTTAAAATTTTGAATTTAAATATGGATGGTGGGAAAAGAATTTCTTTTAAAAATCCAATTTTAATTTGTAAATCGAATAATTAAATGACCATTTGTGGTGGCAGACATAAAACAATAATTAATTAATAAATATTGTTTTGAATTTCGAAATTTTAATTGTATAAATATGTGTTTTAATTGCTTTTTATGTTGGAATTGGTTGTCTGATCTGAAATTCAAAACTTGAAATGGTTTGAAATTTTGAATTTAAATATGGATGGTGGGAAATGAATTTCTTTTAAAAATTGAATTTTAAAATTTAAATCGAATAATTAAATGACTATTTGTGGTGGCAAACATAAAA